AAGACGATAAACCGGCCAAAAGACTATGTATCGATGAGGTGAATCTAGCGATAGTTCTGATGGGCTAACAGTAGCGAATATCACAAGGACACGCAAGACCGCCTTGACAAAACAATCGCACTAGGGAGTCCAGATACGTGCGTCTGTGTGTTGAATCGCGGGGTCCTCAAAAACATCATATATATATAAAACGCAGGCCAGAGTGACGGAAGATGGAATATACGGCGTAGTACCGATATTCACGACGACAATTCAAGCAGAGACACGAAAAGAGGAGGGGGCCAGGTGAATGGGAAGAGGTTTTATAATTTCGATTAACAGCATATACGAGGAACTCCTCCTCCTCGTGAACAGACGGTTGCTGAAAGTGGAAGACGCCGCCTGTTGAAAACCGGTTAGTTGATAGTGTAACGCGAACACACAAAATAGAGGGGGGGGTGGTAGGTGGAAGAGGATGGGGGGGGGCAGTTGGAAGCAGCGGTGGCCTGGAAGAGAGAAGGGGACAGGAAAGTGTCACAAACTGACTGAGCTAGGTGGGGGTGGGGGGAGTGGAGTTCAGCAGGAATAAGAGACTCTGGATGCGGAGTGATTATCGTGGCCATCCCCACCATTTGTCTTGCTTCTCATACTTGGCAGCAAGCATGGAGGCGGCCTTGCCCAGCGACTTGGATTGGTCAACCATTTCCTGAGTCTGAATGTCCAACTGAGCCAACCGCTCACCACGTTCTATGGCAGCATTGCGGGCTCTCGCAATGTCAGAGACAGCCGAAGTCGACTGGGCATTCAGCTTATCCATACGCTGTGCAGGCAGAAGGGCAGCTGTTCCACAGGCAGGCTTGCCTGAGGCCTGTTCACCGACTGCAAAGAAGGGATGGAAGGTGTCACGAGAGTTATTCTCATCTTAAAGACGCTCAGTTTACCCTTATTTCGACCGGTGCCTCCCTGTACCTACCGATCGAAGCACCGGACAGCCCCTTGCATTGGCGGATTTTTGCACGCGGCAGGTTCCTCGGTAACGGTAGGGTGTAGGACCCACAAGCAAATGACAGCTCCAAAAGCATATCCCAAAATTCAGCGTGGCTGTAAAAATCACTTATTATTCACCGTACCAATTGTTTGAAGCTTACTCCCCATTCTGACTAAACTTACCGGTGGTGCTTTATTCGAAGTTCGCTATTTCTTTGCCAAATGATAGAGCACGACAAGACTCTCGGCAGAAATGTATCCATTTTCCGTGTCTTCTTGTTCTCCGTTCTGTGTGCTGCCACGCCTGTAAAATCCCTTTTACCACCATTCAACATATGACACGGTCCTCAGGCTAGCTGAAGTTAGTTGGGGATCCTATACCCTACCGTTTCCAGTTCCTCTCCCTCATGGTCAGTCGGGGACGTGAAGGCCCTAACATCCCGAGGTCGATGGGCAACGCCTGCCCTGGCGGGTAGTAACGGTCGTGAAACCGCCTCAGAGGCTCCTTTAATGTAAGGAATAGCCCTCCAGACTTCGAATTGTTCTTGTTGTGACCTTCGTCTGCTAACTCGGCGCTCGCTTTGCTTGATAAAGTGGCTTCGGTATTAATTGGCCAGAAATTGATCAAGACAATCACACGGAGCATAAGAATACCGAGCAAACACGGCCTGCCGACTAATTAACCCGAATGGGGCACAAATGCAACTAACCCCAATTGAGGTGACGACAAACAACACAGGAGCCCCCCGAAACGTCAGCAATAAAATTTCATTGAGCCGGCGAGCACTTCATTTTTCTCAGATTATCGACCCGGATCTCTTACGTCTCTTAACCCGGGCAACGTAGAAGTTCTGCGGAAGCACACAAGGTAATACCGCACGTCAAGAAGACTTACAGAGTTCGTTTCGGTCAAGGGCGGTGAAGTTGCCGGAAAAGAGGTTTGTGAAGAAATTCCGCTTTGGTGGCTCCGGCATAGTGCAGGGGAGGAAGAGGTCGCCGTGCATTTCATTCAGGTTGGAGCTAGTGGGGATTGGGGGAGACGCAATATCGGTAGAAAACATGACAATTCAATGCAAAATTTTCACAGTCCAAGGGATTTGTGAACTAAAGGAGACTTTGGGAGAGACCAGGAACAAAACTGCCAAAAACACAATGCAGACACGACAGTTATCGACGGTGTCCAACATGTGCGGTATAGAGACGGTGACATGCGCGTGAATTGGTAGCAGACTTGCGCTGATATCTACCGCACCATCTCCCTCCTAGCCCAGGGATGGGGTTAAGAAGACCGGAGGCGGGAGAGGACGCAGGGGTTGACACGGCCGAACAGCTCGTCTACGCGTGCCACCCACCGGCTGGCCCGAGCGGAACAGAACAGGCTGCCACAGAGAACGGGATCGACAGCTCGGATACGAACCTAAGTGCGAGTGCCACAGAGGTCACATTAACGGGGACATGTGCAGCCTGACGCTCCGTCCAGCTGTCAGTTCGACCGTCATAAGCGACGGCGCCTACTGCAGCCTAATGAGGCGGGCTCCGTGGCGGAGACTGTACATGAATTGGTTTACAATGTGGCGGACTTGCAAAGCACCTACCGAACTCTCTCCTCTCCCATCGACCTTGCCCCGATTATGAGACAGGGTCAGGACGATTGGAGGTGGGCCCTGCCAAAGCCCAACGGCGCGTCGACGCGGATCACTCACGCGACCTAACTCGCACTCCGGGCGTGGCCCGATAAACTAAGGACGGATTTTATCTTAAACATACCTCAATAATGACCATCCGGTCAACTCCAAACACAATTGCTTAAGATGGGTTTGTCAGCGTTGTGAGAAAAACTGTGGTGAATAGGACGACAGGGTTGATGGATTGCAATAATAGCGACGGCAATCAGAAGCAAACCGTTACCGGCGTAAATGTGTCAGACGGTGCAGGCAAAGGCGAGACAAGAGATCCAATTTTTTGCGAGCGCTGCTCTACGCGTGAGGAAGCTCCCGGTAGCCGTCAGCTGCCTTGTCAGGAGCCCAAAATACAGTAGGTGGACTAACTCATGAAATGTCAACCGAAATTCCGAAATGTGCTTTCCTTTCGAACAGATTAAGTGAGTAGGGTTGTAAAATCGATCGTCGTGCAACAGAATTTTCATAATAATTCAACTGCCTCAGGATGCCGGCTTTCGAAAGAATATCTTTTCTGCTGCACGCAGAAACTATACTCTGTAAAAATGACTACTTAAGTAGCATGCATTTTTCTTACTGATTTTCGATGTCCTTAAAAATCCACTTATAATCATGGAAAGCATGCGTTAAAATATTCATTTTTTGCTTTTTTGGTGGCAAATGACGTCTTCGTTCAATTTTATGCTCAAAGGAAGGGAATAATTTGCTTTTAGAAAAGTTTATCATTGTGAGACTTTTTAGTATCATGAAATGGCCGTTCATAAAACGTTAAGTCTCAACATTCATCAATGTGGCTTGTAAAGTCAACAATATGACTCAAATTCACTACTAGCTTTTATGAGCCCCGTATAGCCTCCTCATAATACCGTAGAGAAATGTATGGTTTTCCGTACGCGGAAAGCATATGGTTTGTAGTTTGGAAACCCCGAATACAAGCGTAACGGCAGGTCGGTTTCAGAATTATTCAAGAATTAGAAAAGTTTTTGAAAACCGAATTATACCCTTCCTTCCAATACAAAATCGGAAGAAGACGTCATTTTCTACCGAATGAGTGAAAGAATGAATATCTAAGTGCATTTTTTCTACGAAATGTAATTAGACTTATAGATTCATCAAAACTCAATGAGAAAAATGCATGCTATTTAAGTAGTCATTTTTTACAGAGTGTAGTTTTTGCATGCAGCAGGAAGGAAGTTTGTTTGAAAGTCGGCATCCTGAGGCAACTGAATTATTATAGAATTACGCTGCACGCTGGCTAGTTTTACAACTCTAGTTAATTAATCTTTTCCAAACGGAACCACATTTCGGAAATTCGGTTGAAATTTCATGAGCTAGCCCACCTACTGTACCACTACCTGACTGCTGGTTAATTGAAAGGGCGTGTAGGCACCATGACGTGTGTGGTAGGCTTAAACGTGAATTCAGTCTCCTCAGCCATTGGATCCGTATCCATTTCTTGTTGTCGTGGCTCTGCTCTGCCATTGCAATCCGGTTAGTGTGAGAGAGGGGGGTTGAGGTAAATACGATGCATGTTCCCGCTACTATCAACTCAACCCACAAGCAGGTCATTACCATGCACTCAGGGCATTGATAATCCTCGTTGCATGCTAGGAATGAAAGTCATACATCTCCAGCCGGAAGGCAGAGTACGGAAATAACCCTCCTGGCGCTAACGCTTGTGACGAGGAGGCATTAACTGGCCGCACAGGAGGAGACCTCGATCAGCCCATAGGAGGAGGAGGAGGAGGAGGAGGAGGAGGAGGAGGAAAACAGGCTGAATTGACCGAAGTCACAAACGTGTGGCGGCACCTACCTCAGATCGGCGGCCCAGGTGATCTTGACGAGCTCCGACGGCGATTGCATGTAGATGCAGTGACCCAGACCGCCAAACGTGAATTGGTCCAGGGACGGCAGAGGGACAGTGGTCATCGCGGAGTGCAGATAGTCCACATCGCTGAGCATCCGCAGACTGGGCAAGGAGAAGGCCAGCAAGTGGCCATTGGAGAGGAGGCAGGCCAAGAAGGCGCTGGTCGAGGCGGCGGAAGTCGTTGGACCACCACCGGTCGGAGGTCCAGAGGTGGGTGGGAGACGAAGCTGCATAACTTCAGCACGGATAACAGCGCTCGTTTCTGTTATCTTCACCTGCAGCAGTAGAGAACAGGGAGGTAAGTTAAGCAAGATGGCACCGCGAACATTTGAATATGGCTGTATGAGGTGAAAGGATCGTTCACCAATCGGATGCTCTCGCTCCAGGAAGTCCAAACTTGGGGTTGAACATAGTTTTTAACAATTTAGTAAATCAGCAAAGGAAGGACACGGAGTTAAGAGGCTACCTCATGAAATGTCAACCAAAATTTCGAAATGCCTTCTCGTTTCGAAAAGATAAATTAGGTAGTGTTGTAAACCTAATCATGATGCAGTATAAATCTCTAATGATCCAGTTACCTCAGGGTGTCGGCTTTCGAAAGAAATTATTTTCGGCTGCATGCAAGATCTATACTCTGCAAAAAATGACTACTTAAGTAGCATGCAATTTTCTCATTGATTTTCGATGCCCTTGAAAATTCAATTATATTTCATGGAAAACATGTATAAAAATATTCATTCTTTTACTTATTCGGTAGAAAATCACGTCTTCTTCCAATTTCATACTCGAAAGAAGAGTATAATTCGGTTTTAAAAAAGTTTCTAATTGTGAGATTTTTTAATACCGTTAAATGGCCGTTCATGAAACGTCATGTATCTGCATTTACGAATGTGGCTTGTAAAGTTAACGATATTGCTCAAATCCACTGCTTAATTTTATGAACCTCGTATGGTCTCCTCTTAACACCGTAGAGAAATGCATGGTTTTCCGTACACGGAAAATATACAGCTTGTAGTTTTGAAACCCTGAATGCAAGTGTAACAGCAGGTCGGGTTCAAAATCATTCGGGAATTAGAAAAGTTTTTTAAAACCGAATTATACTCTTCTTTTGAGTGTGAAATTGGAAAAAGACGTGATTTTCTACCGAATAAGTAAAAGAATGAATATTTTTATGCATGTTTTCCATGAAATATAATTGAATTTTCAAGGGCATCGAAAATCAATGAGAAAATTGCATACTTCTTAAGTAGTCATTTTTTGCAGAGTATAGATTTGCATGCAGCCGAAAATAAGTTCTTTGGAAAGCCGACACCCTGGGGTAACTGGATTATTATAGATCTATGCTACATCATGATTGGTTTTACAACACTACTTAATTTATCTTTTCGAAACGAGAAGGCATTTCGAAACTTTGGTTGACATTTCATGAGTTAGCACATCTACTGTAAGTTGGTAAGGGTATGGTTTGTACCCGGGGCAGGCCGCGTACTCCACTGAATCCGGACCTTCAGGTAGATAGGCAACGGCGGTCTATTCAGTTGCCTGCAACCCCCTGACTACTGTTTTTTGGTAGTTTTTCGAAGTTATGCACTTTCCTACCGCCTACTTACTCAGTGCATTAAAAGGTTCTGGATGCAGTTTTACCTTTTTGCTCGTTTTTATTTTCTCGAATTACTTTTACGTGGCCGCATGACCCCTATTACCACCATCGCCGTTAAACAGGCTCCTCAGGTTATCTGTCGCTGACCCAGGGTGGGCAACGGTATAGAGAAGGACCCCACTTAACTGTCAGCAGACTGTGGATCGTGTCATATGGAGCTTTATCTCGGCATATATTTGCAGGCTGTTGCAGAAATTACACTGTTAACAACGGTTCCTTCCCACGACCTCACACCTAACTCAAAAGCCGTTATTCTGCGAAATTAACTTTTTGTCTCTTCTTTAATTACTACTCTTATTTCGCTGTCGTACAATAGCGTGGGATAAGACCTTCAGCATAAATCCAGACAATTTCCGTGTTTTCTTTCATTTTGCCAGCTTACTGTCTAGCGTGCTGCCTCACCCATAAAACTCCCTTTACCATAAATCACGTATGGCACGATCCAAGGTCTACTGACAGTTAAGTGGGGTCCATCTCTATACCGTTGCCCAATCAACTTTCGAAGAATAAAGGCGTGGTACCCGTCCTACAGATAAGTAGCGTTGCGTGTAGCATCATTTTGCCCGTCAGTGGTCTCACCAAGTTTCCAACGCAGGTGTTAGGTAAAAGCCCAGGTGCGTGTTTCGTCGATGTTTATATACATATATAAGGACACAAGAGACGATGCAAACCGATCAGCGTGAGAAAAACCCGGATGGTAAGAAAAGTAATAATGTTGTTTAATAAAAAAAAATCATCAAGTGCTTGAAATCTTTCGCTTTTTAAAGGAATTTCATAAAGAGTCCGCATCCTAGAAGGTGGTCATTCATAAGGGCTGAGTGAATGCGAAAAACCAAAGAACTTTTCGCTTAACCCATTGGTTAAATCACACCAGCGAGCTCACATCTTCCAGATGTCAAATGCGTACGTCAACCAGTCGATGCTAGACGATAAGCTGTACAGGATACGGTAAGAATCAAAACCTTCGGCGAACGCAGCTGTGACTGAACCATCCCGAAACGCCAACGAAAAGCGCCTACGCCAGGACGACGGTAGTACGTTGCCCCATCGTCACGTGATTACTGACTGATGCATTTCTTTGCTCGAAGAGCGCGCACTCTCACCTTCAGTCAGTGGCCGATCCCATGAAACGTTAATCGAAATTATGAAGTGCATTTTCGGTCAGAAAGCATATTGTTTAACTTGTGACCTAATCCCATAATATTTCGACCACCTCGGAGGTTGGCTTTTGAACGCACTCCTTTTCAGTCACCTGTAAGAACCGCGCTCGGCGAAAGTGGCTACTTGAGTAGTATGCGCTTCGTCTGCCGATTTTCGATGCTCTTAGGAATTCAAAAATATTTCTCGGGTAGCATGCACAAAAGTATTATTTCTCGTTCTCATTTGTCAGGGGAATCACGTCTTCTTCAAACTGTTTACTCTCAGAAAGGGTGCCATATGTTTTTAAAACGTTTTTCAATTTCCGGACAATTTTGAATCAGATCTGCTGTTGGCTTCTCATTTAGGGTCTTCAGTCTCCAACCTGTATCCTCGTATGGCATTAAGAAACTACCATAGGGGGCTCATAAAATGTGGCATACTTAATGAGGGGCATTATCAGACGAACAGATATGATGCTACTTGAATATACATTTCGCGGTTTTAAAAATGTCACAATAATAAACCTTTCCAAAGCCAAAAAATCCCTTCCTGGGCGTACGCAATAAGGAGAAGACGTGATTTGCAACCAAATGGGTGCGACAAATAATATTCTTATGCATGCTATCCAAAAAATATTTTTGAATTTCCACGAGCACCAAAAATAAATGGGAAAACGCATACTACTTTAGTAGTTTTGGCAAGTGCGGTTTTTTGCAGGTGACGGAAAAGAAGTGCATTCAAAAGCCAACATCCTGATGTATCTGAAATATTACGGGATTATGCTTCAAATTAATAAAAACTGCATCCCCACTTAAGCGATCCCTCCTAATCGGAAACGAATTTCAAAATTTAGGTCGCCACGGCCAAGTTGAGTCGCTGCCTAATAAGCACGTACAGAATAAAGTCCTCGCGCTGGTGTCTTTGACCTTCTCCTAAGTGGAACCGATTACGGACTTATGACAGTTTTGGCACATGAGCCTGATCTTTTGATGATGGGCATTTATCAATCGCTCCGTTTATAATAACTTCCGTCAAGCTACATGGCGGTATGAACACACAAACGCCTGGCGACGAACTAGTCGATCGTTAGTCGTCAGGGCTACATTCATATTCTTAATTTAAGTGTTAGTGCTTGTGTGCACGGAAGAGCATAACCCACATAAGACCCCAAGAAACCCAATTACTCGCGAGGGCAGTGCATTCGTAGCGGCGGGTCTGACGACTAAAGAAGCCTCGGATCATGGAATGGCAGTACCCTCTGAGGAGTCAGCACAGCGATCTGAGAAAAAAAAACAATTGCCTATAAAGGGCTCCAAACAATGGCGATAGTGCGACATGGTGAGTTTTGCCGCCATCCAATAAGGTTTCCCCTTCCACCAGTCGGCACAGTCCTCGAATGCCAGAGATGCGAGTAAAAATGTCCATGTATGACGAGTCATAGGAATATACAAGCGTTTTTGTTTTTTCGGGTGACTGGGTGAGTGAAGTTTGTGCGTATTACCTGGACTTGCAGGGAACTAATGACACAGACATCCTACACCCACAGGGCCAATCACTCAGTTCCAGACCAGACAAACGGCGGAAGAAATCTGGCACAGAAATGTCGACAATCTTGGTTTGACCAAACTGGCTGCAAGAAACAGAACTGTCTGTTTTGGATTCTCGGTCTGGAAGGTAGCTGAAGTAAAAAATAAACGATCTATGTGTTGCATGGATTGGCAGATGAATGCTTAGCTGGCGAGTGCAGAGTCATGCAGTTAACGGTATGCAACGGGAAGGCTAATGACCAAACAACACCTTGTCACACTGTACTTCAGGTACGAAAAAATTCGATGTGAGAATTTTACCTCCAACGAACAACACGAGAAATGTCTTTTTGATTGAACAAAATGATCGAGGTAGTGCATGTCAAGTTACTAGTGAAACGTCTTTGCTCCCCCCCCCCCCCGACTTGGACGGATAAGGTTAATTTACGCGAGAGTGCAATTGTATAGGCCTGTTTGAATACCTGCAACACATAAAAACCACTAACTAAGGTGGATTCTAGCTTGGATCCTTCGTATTAACGAGCATTTGCGAGTCCAAAACTCTAGCATTTAGTCACGGACTAGTTGTCCTGTTGGGTTCGACTGGGAATATTAACCAGATTTTCTGGCAGATTTTGAATAATTCATATTGACCCAACTGTGAAAAACTCGGCGCCCCGGTGGGATTCGAACCCACGACATCAAGAAGAAGGCTTTAGTACAGCCAACGCTTTAGCCACCCGAGCAGTGAGGCCCCGGCCGGAAAATTTGATGTGAGGATTTTTGACTCAATCAAACGGCACAAAGAATGTCTTTTCGCATAAACACAATGATTGAGACTACAGCAGTGTATGTCAAATTACTAACAAGACGGCCTTGCCTCCCTCGGGTTGGACTGTTCGGAACTCTGCAACACATCTGTAGTCACTAATTGGGACAGATTCCTTAGGTTAATGAACGTTTACACGCCCAACACTTCAGCACTGAGTCTCGAAACCGTTTTCCTATAGACTGCCTTCGGGAATATTGACCAGGGTTGTAATTTGATCTGTGAACGCCGCCCTATCATAGTTAATATTCCCAGTTGCGGTCGACAGAAAAACGACATCGCCAGACCTAGTCGCGATTAACGAATCCAGGTTCGAATCTCAGGTCCTCCGAGTCTAGGATTGGGTATGGCTGGCTGAAGATGGCCAGAAGGCCCCAAATAGCCATTCCAGTCTATTCAGGAGACGAAGATTCGATCACTCGTACAAGAAATGTATTGGCCTGACGTTTCGGATTCTCACTCGAATCCATCATCAGAGACATTCGCAGATAAAATCTATCTTCCCTTTGGTGGTTCGCCTTCCTATGCGAAATTACTGGTCCCTATGCGACTGCATGCCGGAGGGCTCTAGAGCAAGCCCGAGGACACGCTGGTACGAACACGTCTCCTAATCTGATCGGTGAACCGACCTCCCACCAGAGATTTGAGCCCAGATGACAATGGCACAGGCAGGCTGCTGAGAGCGACTAGTCCTTGAAGAAAAGAGCCAATAGGGTGACCGTGCTGAATGACAAACCTTGTGGTAACAGGTCCTCGAAGGCAGCGCTACAACCTGGGCCTGCTTCTCGGAGCAGAGGATGACGAAGTGCTTGTCCGTGTCTGTTGCCGTGCCGGTGGTGGTGGTGGCTGAATGTTGGCCGACGGAGGAGACATCTTCGCTGGAGGTTACTGTGACCGGTGGCGCAGTATGCGGTGAAACTACGTAGAGGAGGAGGGATGGATGGATGAGGGGGGTCAGGGGACACAAGGCATTTTGGACCGAGGCATAGACAAGGATAGCAGAGCGCTTCTGCAGAGTCGGCATTAAATGGGACCAGTGTGACGACATCGACCAAAGAGGCCGGAGGGACGGCTATTAAGTTATCTTGTTATGGTGTGGTCTCTGAGGAGCATCATTTAGGTGTAAAACATATCGTGTGGTTCAGTCGGTTGGCCGCAGTGTTATATCCTACAACCCTACTTATAACTTGCAACACACGAATGGCCCTCACGCACTTTTTTCCTGATAACATCGGAATTCGGTTTTTTAACACATCATTCAAAAGTGTGCTTGAATTAAAGCCATCTTTAGAACCTACCCTGATCACATACTAGGGCATCCCGTGTTTAATTTAAATATGTCAAGGAGGGACTTGCTGGTGACTCTGAGTGTTGCCTCCTAAAACGTGCCAGGCAGTAGATGCGTCGGACCAACACGGAGCTAGATGGGAGTTCGGCTGGCGTCATTGGGACAGAAGGCGTATGCTATGCCCTTATCGGCGAACCTGGCCCTCGTAGCCTGGTTTACACTGGCAGTTCCCTGAGAACTGGTTCCCTGCCGCTAAATGTGTTTGCGCTCCCGCTGGTTATACAGATGGTGGCCATGGCTGCCCAGTCATCATCCTCGTACATCTGACCCCTTTTGGGGTGTTGTTGTTGGTGAAAAAATCCTGGCCAAGTGTATGTTGTGGACAAGAGGGTGTGTCAGCCCGCCTAGGTGCGGGTACGGCCGTGCAAGCCACCTACGACCTCCCCCGCCTCCGGTCTTCTTCACTCTGTCTCGACACCGGGTCCGGGTGAGGAGGGGGAGGAGAGAGTGCGGTAGGTGCCGTGCAAGTCTGCTATCCCTATAAACTAACTCGCGTAAGTCATCGCCCCGGCTCTCGCCTTGATGTGGTGGATATCGTCGGAATCGGCGGTCAAACTGTCGGTAATACCACAAAAACCTTCCTTGCAGTAGTTAGGAGAAAATGAGAGTGCAGTACGTGGAAAGTAGTACCTGGTGTAGCGGGTGAAGAGCCACCGCTTCCGCCGGCGCTTAGCTTCAGAGCGGACCAGCGCCCGGCCCCCTTGGCCGGCTGGTCTCGCCTCGCGGTCGGAGGTGCTGTACTGCCGATGAGGTGGGCACCCGTGGAGGGAGCGCCGGGGCCCAGACGTTTGGCTGCGGAGACACTGCAGGTACCGGCGGTGGGATTGAGCGAGTCACCGAAGCCTGCGTTGGACTCCTGATCGGCGACCATGCGCGCGGCGCCCCCATCAACACAATCCTCCTCCTCCTCCTCCTGCTGCGGCACCAGGGTCAGTCGAGGAATTGCACTGCTTCCGAGATCCCACTTAGTCGCTGGTGGAACGCAGATCTCACCAAGAGAATCGAGGAAAGCGATCGACACAGCCTCACCCTCCAGTCGGAATAAGGAACCTGAACAAATTATAGGGAAGGAAGT